GAGTGAATGAAAAGAAGATCAAAGGATCATCAGTGGATCATTTCTGTAGATCATCAAGGCAAGTTTACTTCTACAGCAGATTTCATACACAGTGGCCATTCAAAGTGCTTTACATTAACAGCAATATAAGAGACGAGTATGAGAACATGAAAACAAGTAATATTAAAGCAGATGAAGATGTGTTATAACAATGAAAAACAGACACAATAGTGTGATCTGCCGGTGTGTGTGTCATCCAGTGAAGGCACAGCAGAACAGATGCGTGTTCAGTCCTGATGTGAACGTGCCTAATGTTGCAGCACATCCGATCATTTCTGAAAGCTGATTCCAGCAGCGGATCATCTGAGAATCATCAGTGGATCAAAAGAAGACCATCAGTGGATCATCAGTTCAGCTCCTCAGTGTTCCTCCAGCTCTTCTCCACTGTAGAGTGTGTGTCAGCAGCTGAGCACTGAAGTTAGTGAACTGAAGCGGTGTCAGTCCAGTGTTCAGAGCTGAAGATCAGTTCAGTTAATCTTCACTGCTGAGAGTCCAAACACTGAAGAGCAAATCCATCCATGCGCAGCTCCACAACACCCACACCAAGCAGGCCAGTGGAGACAGCGGAGAAGCAAACTTCACCGATTGACCAAAGTGAAGAAGAGAAACCTGGAGAGAAGCCGGGCTCAGCTGGACTCCACCATTCTCCTCTGGCCAAACGTCTTGTGCAGAGCTGCAGTCTAGGTGCCGGAGGCTGGAGAGCGCTGGACGTCCATCGTGGAGAAGCTGCAGGTGTGAGCAGGTCACCGGCTGGTGTTCAGACTGGCCCACAGGATCAATGCGGAGACTCGTCTGTCACTGGGGTCTTACAGGGATCAGTCTCACGCTCTCCACTCCTGATCATCAGCGGATCAGGATCTACAGGATCAGACTCTGTCCGAGCCACACAGTCAGCAGATGCCAGTCAACATCTGCTGTCTGGAAGATCTGCATCAGCACTGCTGGGGGTCACATGAGGACAAACCCAACGGTTGACCTTTAACCCCGCTCAGGCTCTCTCCATATATAACCCAGATCCAGCA